ATTTAGATGAAGGACTATGAACCATTTTCACTCTGCTGGTAAAACATCAGCAGAGTGCAGGGATTTGACACTGGAGGGAGTTATACTGGACAGTTTCATTAATAACTTGTAGGTCTTCAACAAAATTTCATTGGCAGATTAGGACTATTATAAAGAGAATGTCGGGGTGAATCAAATTGCATTTTAGAAATGCTTAGAGCATGGGTTGGATTTACTCTAGTGCGTCCCACCTCAAAAACTTTTGCTTTGCTTAAAGGGAGAGTTGGTGTACCTTAAAACAACCTTAACAAGCACAGTTCTTCCTTTGAATCCCATTGTCCCATACTTGTGAGTTGGCAATCTGGTGAATTTAAGGGGACATTTGACCACCCTTGATGGCTTCTCCTGGGTAATATCAGCTGGTGATGAATGGTCTGTTCTGATGGTATTTTCACCTGCATTTGCTTTACTTTGGGAAGAGTCTGGTATAGCAAGTCCCTCCCCAGTTGATGGGATTGGAGATTCAGTACAAACAGAAAGCCAAGTTTCCTGGTTACTTTCAGTTACTGTGACAAAACACCAGTACCAAAACCAACTTGGAGAGAAAAAGGGTTATTTCACCTTAAAGTTCATAGTCCACCATGGAGGGGAGCATGGGCAGGAACGTGGGGCAGGAACCTGGAGACAGGAACTAAAGCACAGACTGCAGAGAATGCTGTTTACTACCTTGCTTCGCGGGGCTGTGCTCACCCTGCCCAGGGTTGGCACCACCCACAATGGGCTAGGCCCTCCCATGTCACTCAACAATTAAGAAAATACCTCACAGGCATGTTAGTCAGCTAGAGGAAATTCCGTAACTGAGGTTCCCTCTTTCTAAGTGCCTCAAATTGACACCTGAAGCTGTCCCACACTGTATCAGATGGGTGTTACCCAGGCTGCACTCCAGGGGCTGTTGGAAAGCCAGCGCTTGGGGCTTTCCTGGTCTTCTGTGACAGGCACAGTTCAATTACTTCTTTTGGTTAAAAGCATTGCTAAAACTGAGTTTGTGGCTTCTGTGTTGACCAGGAAGCTTATGTCAGTTGTACCTGGGGCTTCTGGGGGAAGGAAAGATTGAAGCCAAAAGGCTATGGGAGCCACTGCAGGTCTTATTCCTCTGCAAAGTAACCATTTACTTCTGCCATCTGGTGCTTTGACTGTTTATCAAGCAGGACCGGCCTTCTTTCCTCCCTCCCTCCTTCCCTCCCTTCCTTTCTTTCAAAGATTTTATTTTTTTTTAACTTTAAAAAAATTATTATTTTTATGTGTATGCATGTATTGCCTGTATGTAGATAAGTGCACCTGGGTCATGCAATGCTGGAGGAGGACAGAACAGGCTGTCGGATCCCCTGGATGTGGGTGCTGGGATTTGAACCTAGGTCTTCTGTGAGAGCATTCATTGTTCTGAACCGCTGAGACATTTCTCCAGTCCCAAGATTTTATTTTTTAATTTGTGTGTGTCTGTGTGTGTGTGTGCCTGTATGTGCATGTTAATGCTGTTGCATGCTGAGGTCGGAGGTGTTGGATCATCTGGAGTTTTGTTACAGGCAATTGTGAGCTGCCTAATGTGGGTGTTGGGAACCAAACTCTTGGCCTCTCATGAGCAGCATGTTCTCTTACCCACTGTGCTATCTCTCCAGCCCCATCAGTTGGTTCATTTAAATGTTTGGGAGAAGTCTCTTCCAAAGCCTGTTCTCATTACAGCGCATGCAAGGATGCTTCCTTAAGGCATCCTCCCCTAGGAGGCAGGGTCTCTGGTACCAGATTTCCAACCTTGGGTATTTTGGATAAAGATGATGGCATGCTCCGGCTTTTTAATGCTCAGCAATTGAGCAGTACTCATGCCCACAGTCTCAGTTCTCTGTAGTTGTCAATTGCTGTCTGGGGTGCTTTGCTCTTCAGGACTTCCAGGCAGAACCAGAGCTGAGGTGGTGAGCAGTTAGACCAGGTCTTGATCAGGGCTGCTTAATTATGCGCACCTCGTCCCCACCCTGCTCTCACTCCAGTTCCTCCCCTACTTAAACCTAACCCCATGTCAGTACCCTGAGATGAATTTGGGGTCACTGGACCTCTTTATCTATGTCTCCTTCCAGTGTGGCGACATTGAGCACATTTCTCTCTGTAATTCACTGTTACGCATGTCTCCTTGAATGTACATATTGGGATGGGTAGCAGAGTCTAGCCCGGTTGGGGCTGCTAGAGCCTGGCTTTGCCCTAAAATGCCCAATAAAAATTGGAACTTAAAATAACATAATTCAGGATCAGAATATTGTTAAGAAATTGGGAAAAGAAGACACATCTCCGCTGGTCCAGCTGTATGAGTCCTGCATAATGCTGGAGAACAAGGTCTGCTTCTGTTTCAATTGTGGATCTGAACAGAGCATTTTTGGCAGTAGAAATGTAGACAGCAGACATTTTCTATACTTAATTAATTCTCTCATAACCAAGAAGCAGCTTAATACTGACAGTTTTATGTAAAATTTGACACAGAGTCTGTGTGTTTTGGAAATGCCTCACATTTCATTCAGTTTAATTTAGTTTTCTGTGGTGTAAAATGTGGGAAAATACATTCTTCCCAACAATGTCTTGGAGACTTTATGCTGCTGTCAGAATTTAATTAGTAAAACTTGCTTTAACTTCCTTGAAAGGGATTGTTGGGTAAGCGTGATGGTTGATTTTACCTGTCAGCTTGATTGGGCAAAAGGGGGCTCAGATAGCTGGTTAGGTACTATTTCTGGGTGTGGCTGTGAGGGTGTATGCTGGGAAGATTAGCAGTGTTGGAAGACAAAGCCCAGTCCTTGTGGAGGTAGGTTGACTTACCTTTGCCTAGGTCTTAGCCTAGAAGTTCTTCTGCTCTGGTTGCTCTCACTTCACACACAGACTGGGATCCACATGACTCTCTCTCAAGGCTTTAAACTACATCACTTCTTTTCTTGGCTCCCCAGCTTGCAGAGAACTGATTATGAGCCAATAATTATAATGAATCCTATATATTTTTATAGATCGTGTGTGTTATACATAGATGTTTCTGTGTATGTGCATGTGTGAACGTGTACATGTCTATGTGCGTGGGTAGCAAGGTCTGAGATAGACATTGGATATCTTCTCCAATAGCTCTTGACCTTATTTTTTGAGATAGGGTTTCTTATTGAATCTGGAGTTTATCAGTTTAGATAGGCTGGCTGAGCACCCTGTCTCTGTCTCCCGCAGTGCTGGGGTTACAGAGGCACAGTGCCATCCCTGGCTTTTATGTGGGTGCTAGAGGTTGAACTCAGGTTCTCATGCTTGCACAGAAGGTACTTTACTGACTGAGCCATCTTCCCACTCTTCGATAGCTTTTTACATAAACATAAAATAGTAAACATACATATAACTTCTATCTATCTGTTTATTATCCTCTGTCATCTATCATCTATCTATCTATCATCTGTCTATCATCTATCTGTCCATCCTCAGTAGAAAAACATACAGCTGTCACCGCAAAGGGGGTAAGAGATAGTTTATTCTGAAGCCAAATATGAGTGACTGTGGCCTGGGAACACAGATTCAGGTTACCCCAAATTCCATGTTGCAATGTAGTAACAGTTTGATAAAGTTTTTATAGTAACAGAAAAAAAAGACCATAAATCAAGGCACTTATCAAATAAATTGGTGGAAATATTAAATAGACAGTTACAGCAAAAAGGGGAAATCTTAGCTCTATGTCTCAGACACTTGGTGAGAAACTAGGTTGTTTTTCTTTAAATGCATACCAAAAGGTTTTATCTATAGTTATAGAATGTTAGGTTGGACCCAGAGGTAGGCAGGTGTTGCTGTGCGGCTCAGGGGTTGGCTAGCCCTTTGGGTGTCTTGGAATTACCCATCGGGGGTGGGGGAAAGTAGGTGCAAAGTCAACGACACAGACTCTGGGAGACTCACTGTTCAATAAGCAAGCAAGCTCGTTTATTGCGTACAAAGGGCTTTTCTTTATAACCCCCTCCCCCGAACCTCCCCTATTGGCCCTGAAGGCTGAGCTGCGTATTGTCCATTGGTGTGACCGCATCATCTATCTCTAGCCAGGGTGGCAGATATCAGGTTAGCAGTTTGAGGAAGTTGGCTGCCAGAAGAATGGCGCATCTGCGCAAAGGTCTCCAGGTCCGGTGCCTGGCAGATACCCACGGACCCCCTTAGGCTCTGGATCAGCAGCCTTCCAACCTCTCCACAATCATTGAAAGGAGAGGCTAAAAATAAATTTAGTATGCTAATTCATAAGTGAATGTATTTGATTCTGTAACATTTATGAAGATCACTGAAAATACAGAGGATTCTTGTGGACAAAAATCTGGAAGGGAAAGAACCAGTAGTCAAATTATAGACTGGAAGAAGTGGCCCCCAGTTCCATTAGGGACACTTGGCCACAGATTAGAGGCTTCCAAAGGTGCATTCTAGATTTTCCTTGGAGATGGAATTAATGTCATATTGTGTCTATTAGGATTCTCCAGAGAAACAGAATGGATACTTATCACATATAAGTATATGACACATATAAGTATAAATATATACTATATAATAATGTATTTGCTTACATGTTTATATCTGCTGAGAAGTCCTTGATCTACTTCCTGAACACCAGAGACAGTTCTGTAATTCATTCTGAGGGTGAAACCTGAGAACCAGGGCAGGGGCATGATGTAACTCCCACTCAGATGGATTAATATGAGGTGCACTGTCCCAGCTCAGCCAGAAAGGCAAGAAGAGGCACTCCTCCACCTTCTGTTCTGTTCAGGCCCTGAGTGGGTCATCCACCATTGGGAGAACAGTCTATTTTACTGAGCCTACAAATTCATGTGCTAACCTCACTCTCCCAGAAATACCTTCCCCTAATCTGGTTTAGTCAATTTTTTCACATAAAATTGACTGTACTTTCTTTGTCTTTATTTTCAAAGGACAAGTTCAGATTTGACTTTATAAAATTGAATCAGATGCTGTCTAAAGTGAAAAGACATTGAATATTTGAAGCCAACCTTATTGGGCTGATTTTTGTGGAAAGCATTTCTTAGGAATTATCCACACGGACTAATAATTTCTCTTAAACTGATTGCTATTTGGGTTAGCTATATATGTAAGTTTTGGAGGTGCGATGTAGGCAGGAATAATATGTGAGTTTCTGTCCCTGAACTCCCAGGAATTAAAAATACAAAGATTGTTAGGTCACTAAAATTGGAATGAGCTACATGTCATCAACTTAGAAAAATCTTTAGAGAAGGAGAAATTATAAATGTTGTCGATAAATGAAAAAGAGATGTTAACTTTACATGTAGAGCCAGTGTTGGCAGAAGAGAATTCAGGTATAGAGTATGATTTGAAACTAGGGAAATACATTGACATCACTGGTTCAGTACCTCTTCATTAATTACTCACTGCTTAAAATGTATGAGTTAGAAGCCGCAGGGCTGATCTTTCAAAAAGCATACTATTAAGTCATTTTACAAGACTAATATTGATACTTGGTTAATTAACTGCTCCCTGATTGTTCCTGGGGTTGATGGAACATAGAATGAGTCATTTGCAAAGAAAACTAGGAGTTAGCTGCATTCCAGGCAGAGCAATGCATCTGGGGGGAGCTGGCTGGGGAATACGCTTGGTGAGCTCAGGCAGGATGGGTTGTGACATGAGAAAATCTGATATCTTGAAAGAGATTCAAACAGAGAAAAGAAAGTTTGTGGAGAATGAAGATAAATATCTAACTCCTCTCTTCACATTGTATTTTTTGTGGAGATTATTTTCTAGGTTTTTGTGTGTTTGGGAAACTACTGCTTTATATCCATTAGAAGTATAACAAAACCACAAGCAATACATAAACTTAAATGATTGTATAATAAAAATTCCCTACTTCCTATTAAGCTTTGCAGCCATTTCTCCATTTTACATTATAGGAGTGGTGCTTATAACCCTTGACCATTTCCCACTGCTGTGCCCCCCCACCCCAGGCAAAAAAAATCAAATACCTGCTTATTGCCTAAAATCACCAGCCCAACTCCTTCATTTTATTATCAGACTTTATTGTTATACATATGAGGTACCATGCCACTATTAGAATTATATTGGGTTTTTTTCTTTTAAAAAAACTCAGAGAAAAAAATGTTCCCAGTAATTTTCATTCAATGTGAATGACAAGAATATTATAGCTGTAAACACTGAAATAACCATTTCATTTCTTCCTGAGGAAGTTCCATATTTTAAGCAATGAAAAAGGGAATTCTATACAAAGCTGGTTTTAAAACTCGTGCTCTCTCATTCTTTTCTCATGCGTATTTCTGGTATTTTCAGAATCGCAGACTAGTCAGCTGGACTCCACAGCATGAAACGTACCACAGTGTTCTCTAGAATTGGGTGCCGTCTCTCAGACATGCTGAATGCTCAAAACCCTTTCAAAAGTTTGCTACCCAAACATGCGCTTGTGAGCAAGCAGGTCTCAGTACCATCTCCCTTTTCCTTTCATTATACAAGTGCTATGCTGCAGCTATTCATTTTAAAGGCACTGTCTACCGAGACTAAGTGATGCCAGTAGCCAGTTTATCTAGAAGCCCGGTTGTGCAGCCTTGTTTAAACAGCATGTGTTAGTTTATCTTTCGTTCATTTCCTTCATCAGTAGAAGCACTTGCCAAATGGAATCGTGACAGCATGTAACTCTGGGCTCTGTTCTTACTAGTTTGACCCTTCTGGCGGCAGGAGGGCTGATTTCACTGAATTTTGATTTTTGCTTCTTGGACGGTTCTTAAAATTTGGTTCTTTTTACAATTCTTTCTGATAATTGCTTTAAAATTATTGCATTCTTTGAGTATGTAAATCTTTAAAAACTTTTCAGATCAGTAATTGTAATGTGTATAGGGAAATTAATAGTAAGTGGAAGCATTTCAGTTTGGTTTTCTAATTAGCAAATAACTGAGAGACTACAGTTTTATGCACTATAATGACAAAGTCTTTAGGCTATTGATTTTCCTCACCTATTTTTTTTCTGAGCATATCCTTTAAAATATTTCATAAGAGATTACAAAATCATAGCCAGAAACTTGCTACTTATACCTATATAGGTATAAAGTACAATTGAAAATTAAGTAAATATTAACACAGGAAAATAAGTATAACCTATTGTACTCTTTCTTAAAAATAACTTATTATACATATAGTTTAAATTATAAGTGTAAACATATTTCACAAGTGACGCTCATCTTTGTATGTACTTCTTGCGTTTGATTTAGTAACTAATCCATAAATTTCACTATGTTCTGCTGTCTTGCATGGATGTGGAAGATATGGGTATGTGAGAGATTCTCAAAAATGGAATTTTATCCTGCTTACTTGTCTCTACCATGTACCACATGTATTATTTCAAATAGTATATTAAAATTCATATGTGAATTCATTTTTAAATATATTTGTACATTAAATCATTTTCTTTTGAGCTACCTGGGAAGATGCGGTTTTCAATAATTTAAATGTGACTAGCCTAAATAAAGCAACATGGGAAGGCTGTCCTTAGTTTTCATTTGGTAGAGCTGTTCAGCAGATTCTCTGCACATTTAGTCAGTGTGAATTAGAGTGGATACTCACGGACTGTGCACATCCCCGCACAACGGGCGAGGGTGAGCAGACTAGACTGTCAGCTTGCAGCAGGCAGCACAGTGCTCAGCCATGTCTCTTTGCACCTAGCCCGTCTCCCTCTTAGAGGATTTAGTCTGCACCTTTCCATTACTATGTGTTGTTTTGCTGTAAGAAATGTGTTTCTATTTACCGTTTACAGCATGGATTTGCATAAGCACACTAGACTATATAGATGAGAACTATTTTCTTTGCTATAGCACTGTTCTTTACTTCTTTTTAATGAAGATGAAGCTCATATCTAACGTCCCATTCTCTGACCTAGCACACATTGTGGTCTAAAATTCCCTCTAAATATTCCGTGGATTTAGATTTTGGCAGCATTGTTCATGAGTGTTATGCTTTTCGGATTTTATGTTACATTGTGATATTTATTTTAGTTCTTGTTATATAAGCTACTTCACAGAATCAAAGAATAAGAAAACATTGTACAGGCAAACAGTGGTCCAAAAATCTACAGAACACAATTTCAGTTTATACACAAAAGTGTAAATATTACTATGAAATGGAATAGTTCTTCATCAGTGTTTTTTATTTATGTTGGTTGCTATTGGCTTCCACATGAGTGCACAGTAGTCTACAGGAAACCCCCAGGCTCAGTATGGGTTAAGAGGAAAGCCATAGGCCTCAAAGCTTTTAAGAGATACCATTTATGTTTCCCCATCCCCCCATCCCCAGTCCTCCACATGCCAGCACATGGAAGGAACCATGTTCTTTTCGTTTGTAGAGGTATATTTTTTGACAGCCTTTTGGTCGCTTCTGTGAGCTTTGGAAAAGCTGTGTGTCATTACATGGAAGAAGAATTCTTGAGAAGTCTTTTTCTAGGTGCTATCTCACTTTCTGCAGCTCCTGTCTCAGCCATGAGGGCAGAGGCTGGCCCAGCCTGTGCAGCAGCTTAGAGAGCTCCACATTGTGGTCTCGGTAGTAACCAGACAGAAACGCTCTGCTCTGAGTGTGAGGGGAGAGATAAAAGCACATTTTATTTTGTTTATTAAAATAGATGTCTTGACTATACTTAAGTAAGTACCAAGTGCACTGGGCATGGATTAAGATTTGCATTACACATGCGGACCATCTACTGGCGCCTGCAGTAGGAGGGTGAGCAGAGTGGCAGCGCTTGTTACTCTAATCAGGCTGCACGCTTGGATTTCCACTCTCCCGTGGAGGCGCCACACCGTAACCTTGTTGAGATCTGCAAAGCTGTGTTTTTATTTGCCTTTACCGTCAAATTTTACATAACATTTCAATTATGTATATATTAGACCAGAGTAAAATAAGATGCTAAGCTCTGCCATGGTGCCTTTTAAGTTAAAATGCTTTAACAAATATATAGGAAGATAGCTATGATATAAAATAAATTATTTTATATTTATTTTAACACCAGATAAACTTCAACTTCTTTTAATGTATTGTGATTCTTTTCACAGTGATCTGAAGGTATATTCTGATGGTCAATCAATTAAAATTGGAATTCTTACCATGTGATTTCCCAAAATGACAGAATCTCACTCTGCCCTGCTGCCATCTGTACAGACTTTAACTTTGACGTTATTGAGGTCCTGTCCATCAGACTGGCATAAAAAATGGTCCTTAAAGTCTTGTAGGATAGGAATTTATAAGAAAAACTTCAAATATTTCATTTTTTTGAGTTCTAAAAATTATAGATCATAATTGATTTAGATTCTTATATACAAATTGTATGCTAAATTGACTGATTATGACTAAAAATATGAATCAATCTTACTGTATGCAAAAGAAGCATTAAAGCAAAAATACAGAGCACACTAACTGAAAACATCAGCATGAAGTATTCACCATGTCACCATTCTAAAGAGAATAAATGGAGTTTGCGTGTCCATTTCTCAAAGCCTAATTATGTGCTGATTTGTTAGACATTTGAGAAATATGTTACTTCTCATAACTTATTAGCATATTAACAGTTCAAAGCTTAGTATAGTATACTATAATTAACACTATAATCCAAACTCCACAGAATGATTTGGCATTTGAAAACAAAAAAAGAGATATTTTTGTCTTCTTTTCAATTTCTGGTTGATGTATTTCCTATCTCTGTTTCAGTCAACACTGCTAGGGCTAAAATTTCTGTGTAGGCATCATTGTTCTGTAGTGAGATGCTCTCTTTTTGTTCAGATTTGTAACACAAATTCCATTATCCTTCATTCTTGTAAGACAGATAATAATATGAAAATGGAAAAAATAAAAACAACCAACCTAGATGTACTGAAATACAAATGCCACTTTTAATTTTTTTAGCACTTTAAAATATTCTAATACATCTTTCAATATTATTGGGTTTCTTTGAAATAGTTTTATTTTTGAATTTTTTTCCTTTTTATTGTTCGACAGTTTCATGCATTTATATAATGAATTTTAGGCATTTTAACTCCCATTTCCCTCCCTCATTCCTGTCCCTATCCTTCCTCCCTCCAGAGGGACAGGTAATACTTGTTGGGGGACGGTGTCACTTTCTTCAGAGCTGACGCTACAAGTACTTGTTCCCCTGAATAACTTCAATGGGTCACACACAGAAAGAGGACATCGCAAGTGAGGCGAGGGGGACCCACTAACTTTTAGTTTGTATAAAGACCGAATTCCATTTCTAATCACTTTTCTAAGAAAACGCTATCTTTTTATCTACGTTTTTATACTTATGTGTATTTCTGGCTCTGCACTTACACTGGGATCCATGGGTGGGTATTTCCTTCCCTTACTTTTGCCAAGGCATTTTGTTTTTCCTTCTTCCAGTAACTGACACCAGAATCCTTTACGAGAATCAAACCTAAAAAACAGAAAGTCCACAAGATCTATAAAAGTATTTTTCAGGCAGTTTATAAGATTAATGACCGTTAACATAAATATTTCTATCTAGATATCAATCTAAAACCAGAGAAAGTATAATTTTTTAATTAACAACCTTTTACACAAAGTTTTCTGGCATACCTCTATATTCTCAGCCCATCTGTCATGTTTGTGAGTTTGCCAGATTCTTAATAGAATAATTTTCAGAAAGCTTACTATTAATAGACATTTACAACACTGCTTTCTTTGGCATGAAAAATTCAACGTTTTAAGCCCATTCTTTGTATTATATTGGTAAAAAAAATGACAAGTCTTGATCCAAGTTTATGGACTTAAACAATATGTCATTTAACTATAGGTTAGTATAAGAAAAAGTTTGTGTACTCTGGAGTGATAATTAGCTATAATCCATTTGTATTTTTTCTAATGATATTTTCTTCTTTGGCATGAGGTTCATATTAAAGTAATAATATGAAGTAAAAAATGCCTCTAAATGGGATTTGTGCCATAATTTAAAAAACAATAACAGCTATATGCTAAGTTTGCATTTCAGCTCACTTAAATAGATCATACATCTCTTTCTCATTTGGGCCTTTGGAATGGCAGCACAGTGTTTGGCTTTTGTGAATATTCACTAAATATAAGTTCAATAAACAATGAAAATGAAGAAAATGTTTGCAAGGCTTAGATTTTGTGGACTAATACATGCTTTCTCAGTATTCTGTTGAGATTCAAGTCTAGGCCCGCTGACTCTACTGTATTATGTTACCAATATAGGTCAAGAACAGAAAAAATTTTTAAATAATTTATTTAACAACCGCGTACTTAGAAGAAGCATTTCATTACAACAGCATTGACATATTCAATAACAATTTTCTGAGCTAAGATGCATCTCTTTCAAAATTGGCTGTAAATTTTTAGGTTTAAGTTGAATTATTACAGTTATACAATATTGTACTCAATATAAACCCTATAAGACATAAAATTAAATGAGGTTTTAAACTTCAAAAAAGATCTCTATTTCATTATTAAAATACACAGTTCCATACAGAAAAGTTCATTTTTAATGCAACTGACATTAAGATATTTGCGCATGCGTTTCTAATCTCTATATATCTGTTTATTACTAGCCACAGTGGGTTACTTTCTGAGCTCCTTGGCATCTGAGCATGTATATAAAGTCATCAGGTAGACTTCAATGGTAATGTTTTTCACATCTACTAATTGTTAAGGAGCAAATTTTTATGCTTTGAAGAATTATTATTTTTTAATCATTAAAAAAAATTTAATAACTACATGATTAGAAGAGGCATTTCACTACAGCTTTAACATATTCAGTAACACACTCCGGAGCAAGAGTACATCTCTTTCACAAGTGGGTGCAAGTTTCTAACTTCACAGTTGAATTAATACAGTTATGCAATACTGAACTCAGTACAAGCCCTGTAAGATATAAAATTGAATGAGTTTTTAACCTTTAAA